AAATTATATTTAATAATTATTTTAATGATTCAAATAAGGAGAAAATAAAAAGAAATAAAATAATTGAAAATAAAACAGGATTTAAATTGATTTGATTCTTCTAATTTGTTGTTTAATTTTTTCATTCTGCAATTCCATTTGTCTAATTTTTGCTTTTAATTCAACATTAATTTTTGTCATAGTATTAATTTTGTCTTCATTCCATTGTTTAATATTATTTATTGATGCGGCAACATTAGTTGGTGCAATGTCTACTTGATTTCCTTTTACAAGACTAAAGATATCATAAAAGTCATCTGAATAGCAATTACTAAGAACATGCATATTTTCTTTAAGAATGCTAATAAGATGACATAATGATTCTTCTTGTTTTCGTTGATCAACCATACCAACATCCATTCCATCTGGAAAATTAATAATATAATCATATACAATATCAATTGCATTTTTAAATGATGTCATTGGATCATTTTGATCACGTTGTGACTTTTCTGGTTGTTTTAACCATTCTGAAATAGCTTTTTGAAGTGTTTTTAAAAGTGAAGGATAAGATATTAATGGAAGAAATAAATAACGAAGAAAGAATAATGTTGTAAAAACTTGTCTTCTCTTTTGATTATCTAATGAAGGAGAAACATAACGACATAATTCCCTAATAATTCTTTTATGATGAGAACAAATAGAATGTAAATTATTAACAAGATATTTTGTAAATGCTTTAACCCATTTTGTTATTTGATACTGTTCATTTATTGAAGGTTGGTCTGTTTCATGAACGATTATATCTGCCATATCAATTAGATAGTGATTGCAATATGTAATAACATAGGTATTATACAATCGAATAAAAGACGTATTTCCTCTAAAAAGAGGAATTCCTTGTTTTGACTTATTGATTTCTTTTTCTCCAAGTTTAGTAAATAATAATGTAACTTTACCACGAGATGAATAAAATACTAATAATGAATTAATTGCTGATAGGGACACAGTTTGTTTTAATAACTAAAGACATTATTATTTTAATTTTTATAATTATTTACATAAGAAATAACAAACAGAATCACAATAACAATAAAGAAGAGATGGTGTTTCACCAAATAATAAAGACCTAAGTGCTTGTTCTGGTGATTTCTTTTGAATAGGTGAAAACATTGATTTATGGTCAGTAAAACGTGGAGATAATAATGCTCTTGAACGAAGTGTTGATTGTTGACATTCTTTAAATGGAACATCATGTAATTCATTAACAGCACTAGTAGATAATTTAAGTTTTTGATGAATACGTGGTGAAATGACCCTTGTTCTTACAGCCATTAATTATTCAGTTCCATTCTTTTTCTTTTTATAGTGGGAAAAGATTCTAGGGAAGAATATTTTTATATGACGACAATTATTAGCGATTTTCATTTATTT